AAGCGTAACTAATTCAAGTTAAATAAGCAAAGTCTTAATCAAAATATTTACTCAATTGTAAAGCATGTATAAAGGAAATATTTAGCATAAAGCTAATATATAAACTGCCTTTCATTGTATTTATTGCCTAAATATAATTTAAATACAAAAACGTATTTACGTCAGATTCTCAGGAACCGTTGTTCCACTGGCAATTTTTTTATTTTGCACGAATGTGAACCTTGGTTTCTCTAGAAGGGGAGCGAGAGAGATAGAAATAAAGAAAGAGGGAAAGTGATGACTGATAATATTAAAATGGATACCGATAATAAATATATCGGGTGAGGGAATGTGGGCTGGATTCAACTGGCCCAGGATCGGGATATTTTGAAAACGGCAATAAACCTCCGAGTTCCATAAAGAAGCAGGGAGTTTCCTGTCTAGCTGAGGGACTGTTCGGTTTTCAAGATGAGCTCTGCTCTATGAGTTTACTACAAATCATTTGTTTAAAGCATACAGAGAGACAATGGAAAAGGAATTTTTAAGTGGTTAATAGCCTACATATGTTTTGTTTCTGGAGCTCTGATACAAATGATGAAGTGGGAGGGGCACGGAATGCGATTACAACCTGTTTGAACTTCTTGGAGGGGCTGATAGAAACATGAGAGTCCTCGCACACAAAATCCGGTCTGTCAGTCATTTAAACACGAGTATGAAGTAAAATGAGATGATGAATTTGCATTGTCAGCTGCAAAGACTTACGACTAGGCTGTCGTGGCCTATTTTAGTGTATTATCTGGGCTCTCCTCTGGATGAGTAATACCACGGAAACTGGTATGATGACCAATGCCCTTGCTGATAAGTACTGCTAACGAATTCGACTGGAATTGAAAGTACCAAGGGTCGAAGGTCCCATTTTTGCAGTATAAGATGGCGAGCAATGTGTAAGGCAAATTGAATTCAGTATGCATGGGTACCAATTTGATCCAACCAGTGACGAAATCAATATTGATTTTCTAAGACTAAAAATAATCTTGGAAATGTTTAATTTAGAACGAGATATGTGCGCTGTTGGCGTCATTAGGAGGATTACTTGAATCTTTAATATCACAAGACCGTCCATCAACTACAAAGTTATTGAACGGTTTCTTAGGCGTGGGTTGAGGATCTATTCAGACAGATTGGCTAGAACGTAAACCGTACCATAACAACGCAATATGTACGCGAAGCGTCTAACACGCTCTAACCTGTACAAAAATTACATTTTATTCCACAACTTAGCACAATGTGGGTAAGGATTTCATAACCACAGAAATTAATGTAAATAAAGAAAAGGAAAATTGTCCCTATGCGTAAGCACCACACGATGAAGACATAGAAGATTGGAGGTCGAGCTCCACGCTTTCTTAAGCGTTATCAGCTTCATACTGCATCCACTTCAAATACAAAGAAATAGTCTGAAGAATACAAATGTCTAATATGTAAAATTGTTCTTTTGGAGTTATCCATTGTCTAGATTATAAATATTATTTGAGATTCTCACAGCGGTGAGTACGAAAATGGCTGTCATGGTTTGTAGCACTGTGTAAAACTTCTACCAGACTACACGGTGCTACAACCCAGAAGACAGTCATTATCTAAATTATAAAATTATAACGTTGCGAAAACTGGATTCTGCTTTAGTCCTCCAGTTTTTTGTACCTGAAGACATTGAACGAAGTCCAGAAGAACAATTTTATCTATTGTATCACATCATAACCAGAAACCTTGAGACTTCAACTAAAAACTTCTAGTTTAATAGCCATCGTTTTTGAAGTATGTTTATGTGATCACATTCTGTTAATTTTCTCACCTTTTAAAGTCATAGAAAACACAGCATATTCAGATATTACAGGGAAACCCAACAAACTGCATCCTAAAACACAGGCTTTATGTTGCAGATAGAATCTCAGTCTGCAACTGCTATTTATCTGCACCTAAATTTAGGCAGTACTATGTCATCACGCTCAAAGGAGAAGATGGCAGCTGCATTCCGCAAACTTTTCCGGTCATCCCAGAAGATTAGGGACCCAGAAGGTGCTGTTGGAGGACAAGGATGTTCCAGCAACAGTGGATCCCCTGCCAGAAGACTGCTGAGTCGACATGGCTATCACAGAGACGCTGTCATGCCAGCAGAGAGGAGTCCAGGATTGGATGGGCCCTCTTCGGGTTCTGGAAGTTACAAATATGTGACTGATCTCTTTAGATCTAAAAAGACAGGACCAGGAAGCTCAGAGAAACAGTCGTTGCTGAGTGGAAACAGTGGGGGGTCTCAGAGAACGGTCCGTTCTCGTAGACTGATGAAGGAACTCCGAGAGATTCAGAGGATACAGCAGCAGTATCATCAAGACCCTGTTTTTACAGTGGAGCTCGTCAATGATAATTTGTTTGAATGGCATGTCCGTCTCTATAGGATTGACTCAGACAGCGAACTTGCTAGTGATATGAGAGATATGGGCATCCCATATATACTATTGCATCTCATGTTCCCAGACAATTTTCCTTTTGCTCCCCCTTTTATGCGTGTGATATCACCACGAATAGAAAAGGGTTTTGTCATGGAGGGTGGAGCCATCTGCATGGAACTCCTGACGCCTCGGGGCTGGGCCAGTGCATATACAGTGGAAGCTATTGTCATGCAGTTTGCTGCCAGCATCGTGAAAGGGCAGGTATGTATGTTACGGCTAAGAGCACAGTTTTATTACCATTTCATTCTACTCATTAAAAAGTGGTGTTACATCCTCCAAAGTAAAACCTGATCTTATTGTAGTTTCAATACTTGGTAGTAAATTGAATGGGAAAGAATGTGGAGAGAACAAGTTAGCAATCTTGAAATTGTTGAAGTTCGACTACAGAGAACTAGACAGCAGGTTCTGTTTGTAGTTGTTATTCTGTCTGAATTTGTCTGATGAGCTCAAGATGAAAATATCATAATTATAAGTGTACAATTTGAAGTTCGTGAAGTTGTCAGGAAAAAAAAACACTTTGAAGGAGCTTGATGACTTGTTACTCTGTATTTAGTGTCTAGGTCACAATGGATGTAGTAATAAGCATTGTGAGATACATTTTCTGGAAACAGAGAAAGTGACAATTTTTGTGAGTCTGGTGTTAAGCATTACCTTAATAAAAATATTTCCTTTCTCCAATTTCTGTGTGATGCGTGTTTGTGAATGCGTAGTATAACAAATTTAAATTTAAAAATTTGTATGTTAAGCAAAAGGTAATCTTACAGATTTCAAGGCATGTTCAAATTACATTCAGACACTCTTAAGTGATAGTGGCAAATGCATGGCTCAGTTATCACCCTGGTGTTGGATGAAGCAAGGACCTCTAAAACGTTGAACTTCCACCAGAATTCACAGTGATACAACCCAGAATACAGTCATCTTTTAACCATAAAAATGTTTGAAACTGATAGTGGCAATTACATATCCATAAAACCAGACAATCACTTCCTTGAAGATTTCCGTCTTCTGGGTTGTTGCGCTCTGTAGTCTGGTCGATGTTAACCAACGTTTCAGAGGTCATACTGCCTCCGTCATCAGGGCGGTGAGTAAGATTTCCGTCTTCTGGGTTGTTGAGCTGTGTAGTCTGGTCGATGTTAACCAACGTTTCAGAGGTCATACTGCCTCCGTCATCAGGGCG